AGGGCCACTGTATGTCATGGAAGTTGAGTGTGCACCTTAATTGGGGAGGATGGGCTCAGTTTTGGGCTTGGAACGGAATAATGGAATGGATTGAACTCATCAAAATAATGGTTTCCATATCTGAGTTTTGAGTGCCTCCCCTCAGCAGCTTCAGTGAATCTATTTCACACACACACACAACACAACACACACACACACCACACACACACACACACACCACACACATACACACCAGCAGGGGAAGTAACAGATCTACTAGAATGCCTAGCCCGAGAGCTTTCAGGACGTCAAAATAACGCAAATAGCTTTAACAATAACTGAACTATGTGGGGCTCTAATATGATGAATAGTTCAGTGTTTTAAGGTTGGCTATTAGGCGAAATCCTAAGCAGAGAGGAGTAATTGGGAAATAGGGAAATGATTTGACACAGCACTCTTCATTTTCAAACGTGCCTGCGGCTAACCAGTATTATGTAAGCACTTACCAGGAGCTTCTCCTTTCCTCCACAAGTAGTGTCGGTTGAGGATTGATATTTCTTCCAAATAAGAAAATTATCATATTGAGACTGAGGAGGAATAAGATGCGAGGCACAGAGTGAAACTAGAATAGTTTGATTTCATTTGGAGGGTGACGTGGGGTCAATTTCTGTATTTGGAGAATGGTAGGTTTAAAATCAAAAAAAAAAAAAAAAAAAAAAAAAAAAAAAAAAAAAAAAAAAAAAAAAAAAAAAAAAAAAAAAAAAAAAAAAAAAAAATTTTTTTTTACACAAAGTGTAAACTTTTTGAGTTAAACCCTTTAAAAAAGGGCAAAAAAAAATTTAAAAAAGTATTACTTTTTTAAAAATATATTTTGCAATAGGTAGCAGCTTGGTTGAAGAATCAACTGTGGGAGCAATTATAGGAAATGGAAGACAACAAGACCACTGATAATCTCCCTCGACTGGGGCTCCAACGCAAGATCTCACCCCGTGGGTCAAAATGATCACAAGAACGGTGAGCAAAAATCCCAGAACCACACGGGGGGACCTAGTGAATGACCTGCAGAGAGCTGGGACCAAAGTAACAAAGCCAACCATCAGTAACACACTACGCCGCCAGGGACTCAAATCCTGCAGTGCGAGACGTGTCCCCCTGCTTAAGCCAGTACATGTCCAGGCCTGTCTGAAGTGCATTTGGATGATCCAGAAGAGGATTGGGAGAATGTCATATGGTCAGATGAAACCAAAATATAACTTTTTGGTAAAAACTCAACTCGTCATGTTTGGAGGACAAAGAATGCTGAGTTGCATCCAAAGAACACCATACCTACTGTGAAGCATGGGGTTGGAAACATCATGCTTTGGGGCTGTTTTTCTGCAAAGGGACCAGGACGACTGATCCGTGTAAAGGAAAGAATGAATGGGACATGTATCGTGAGATTTTGAGTGAAACCCTCCTTCCATCAGCAAGGGCATTGAAGATGAAACGTGGCTGGGTCTTTCAGCATGACAATGATCCCAAACACACCGCCCGGGCAACGAAGGAGTGGCTTCGTAAGAAGCATTTCAAGGTCCTGGAGTGGCCTAGCCAGTCTCCAGATCTCAACCCCATAGAAAATCTTTGGAGGGAGTTGAAAGTCTGTGTTGCCCAGCGACAGCCCCAAAACATCACTGCTCTAGAGGAGATCTGCATGGAGGAATGGGCCAAAATACCAGCAACAGTGTGTGAAAACCTTGTGAAGACTTACAGAAAACGTTTGACCTGTGTCATTGCCAACAAAGGGTATATAACAAAGTATTGAGAAACTTTTGTTATTGACCAAATACTTATTTTCCACCATCATATGCCAATAAATTCATTAAAAATCCTACAATGTGATTTTCTGGATTTTTTTCTCTCATTTTGTCTGTCATAGTTGACGTGTACCTATGATGAAAATTACAGGCCTCTCTCATCTTTTTAAGTGGGAGAACTTGCACAATTGGTGGCTGACTAAATACTTTTTTTCCCCACTGTATACTGTTTGTGTATTAATGTCTTAGGGGTAGGATATTTGTGCATCTAACTTTCTCACTCATCATTATTCACGATTCATTCAGGATTATCCATAATCATGGTAGCATCCACATTCATGTAGAAGTGTTTAGAAACATTTTACTTTCTATTCTTATTTACAATAAAAGTGACTCCAAAATGACACAATACATTATTTACCATTCATTTCTATTGGGCACAAAATAATCTGAAACACAACCAAAACAAACAGCAAATGCATCCAACTAATTTGTAGAGTTACAAGCTTGATGTAGTCATTGTGTGCTATGAATGTGGGACTAAATACTTAACTTTTTACCACTTTAATACACATATAAGTGAATTTGTCCCAATACTTTTGCTCCCCTAAAATGGGGGGACTATGACAGTCTGCACTTTAACCTCATAGTCATTGTTTGATTTAAAATCCAAACTCCTGGAGTATAGAGCCAAAATAATAAAAATGTATTCACGTCCCAATAGTTACGGAGGGCACTGTATGTCACTGGAGGTTGGTGGCACCTTAATTGGGGAGGATGGGCTCATAGTAATGGCTGGAACGGAATTAATGGAATGGAATTGAACTCATCAAACATATGGTTTCCATTATTATGAGCTGTCCTCCCCTCAGCAGCTTCCTGTGATCTATGTACACCACACACACACACACACACACACACACACACACACACACACACACACACACACACCCACACACATACACACAGCAGGGGAAGTAACAGATCTCTATAATGCCCTGCCCTAGAGCTTTCTCAGTACGTCAATAAATAAAGCAAATAGCATTAACAATAACTTGAACTATATGATTGGGGCTCTAATATGATGAAATTAGTATCAGTGTTTTAAGGTTTGGCTATTTAGGCGAAATCCTAAGCCAGAGAGGGAGTAATTTGGACATAGGGAAATTGATTTTGACCATCAGCACTCTCTCATTTTCAAACAGTGCCTGCGGCTAACCAGGTTAATTTATGCTAAGCACATTACACAGGTAGCTTCTCCTTTCCTCCACAATGATTATGTGTCTCGGTTGAGGAATTGATATTTCTTCCAAATAAGAAAATTATCATATTGCATGACTGGAAGGAGGAAATTAAGACTGGCAGAGGCACAGAGTGAAACCTAGAAGTAGTTATTGTATTTTCATTTTTGTGAAGGGTGACGTGCAGGGATCAGATTTCTCCTGCTATTTTGGAGAATGGCTGTCAGGTCTCATCAATAAGAATACAGTGATACAGGCCCACAGTAAGTGGTGCAGGAGGGACCTGGAGGCAAGAGGGAGTAGGCCATCCGTTTCAAAGGGACAAAAAGTGCATGCCATTTTCTGAATATATTTATGATTCTATAAGAGAGTTATGATCATTTTTGTTGCTCATTTGACTTGCTCTCATTCAGATGTACTTCTCCCGAGTATATTAGAATTTGAATTGGCCCTTTGCCTGCTGTTAAAGCGTGAGATAGTATTCATGCTGATAACGTAATGGTCAGTGCAGTCTTTCTTCACAATGAATGCTACATCTTAGCTGGGACTTTTATCTGCTTTACTAGGCAAGCAAGTCAATTTATGAGTAACTGTGATGATGGGCTAATCAGAGCAGGCTATGTAGCTTTTAAAATGTGTCATACCACCTTACAAGTAATTTATTTTACTTTACTGACTTTATTGTACCTGTAGTGAAACTTTATTTGCAGTATCATGTACAAGTTTCAACCATGTTTAAAAGGGACAAGAAAATATACACATTAGAAAATGTATTCACTATGATGATATAAAGTCATCAGTATATACCGTATGAAGACAAGCCTGCTGGTCTTGATGAGTGGGCAGAGACATTAAAATACAGGATATCACACATGGCACATATGATAGTCTAGGTTTTCCTGCAAGCTGATGTCTACCTGTGCCCTGATGGGAGTAGATCAAATTCATGGGGATGGCTTGGGTCAGAAAATATTTTCTGGGCTTTGCTGAGGGCCCTAACCTTAAAGCTCTTATCCAAGCCTGTCTGTCTGACTCCAAGTACCTTTCTTGCTGTTGTGATAATTCTTCTCAGCATATTCTTTTGAGTGAAAGTGGCATTACCAAATCACCAGACAATGCAAAGGGATAACCCCTTCATCAACCGTCTCTCTCCTATCATGCTCAGCCAGCCGCCACGTCACTGGAGAACAGTAATGGTAACAGCCAGCCGACACACCACTGGAGAACAGTAATGTTAACAGCCAGCCGACACACCACTGGAGAACAGTAATGGTAACAGCCAGCCGACACACCACTGGAGAACAGTAATGGTAACAGGGATCTCCTTTTCCATCCTCAAACCCCTACTTCCAACAGCAATTACCATATTGTTATTGTATTGTTATATACAGTATGGTGTATTACCCTGAAAAATACTATAATTACAGACATGTAGGGGTATCTGGGCAAAAATAATGTCCTCATGGTGAGTAACTAGAACTTTTTACCATACTATTACCATGGTATTACCACTTTATTCCGTGCTGCAATGTAAAGTGCTTACGGTTTGTTATTCTGAATTTAAGTAGAAGTTGCTGTAGGCTACAACTTTCCAATTACATCAAGAAATATTTTTCTTTACAATGATTCCCTACATTATATTCATGCCTTGGGATCCTTTTGAGCCACTCAACCCATACTCATACTGAAAAGGACATCATTTCATATCCGAAGTTGTACTCAAATATAATGCAAATATACTTACATCAGATTTCAAATGAGCTGATCTACTTACACAAAATAAGCAGCCAATAGAGTTTCATTGATTAAAATACGTAAAGCTCATTGGTCAGTGTGTGATTTGAAACTGTCTCTTTATACGTCTTCCTTTAGTACAATGCCAGCGATACTGGGTGCACATCCAGGTGGAACACCTTAACCAGAAGAGGTCGAGATTCCTGATAAAAACATATGCCATTATATAAAAAAACAAGTCACTCATGACATCATGCTGCTGAAGCTGCGTAAGGTATACCCTCAGTTCACTACCATTCGCCTTCCTCCCTCTACATGCAAGACACCTGAGTTGAAGGAAAATGTGAGAATTGCAGGCTGGACATACACAGAAGGTGAATTACACACAGAGTTGAGTGATGCACAAGAAGCTATTTGCAGGTATTATATAATTTTCTCATCGAACTCCACAGATGGTACAAAGCCAGAGAAACTGCAGTGTTCAAAATCAAGAGACCTCCAAGTCATTGAGTGTAACCCCACAACAGATGCTGAGATCAAGATTCAAATGCAATTCTGTGTAGTAGGTCCAGGGACGATAAACGCCAGCCATGTAAGATTGATTTCAATTCACACACTTACAATTCCCTGCCTAGCTACATATCATTTTCTGCCCAAAAAATAACAGTGGTGACTAATTTATCAAATTACATTTACAGTAAAAGTCAATCGACCAACCTTTATAAGCTGTTATCATTACTTTATCAAATGAAAAGTTGATAACTGAATAATGTGATTAGTACTATAGGCATACAAGCTATTGTTTTTACTTCTTAATGTAGGCCCATCACATTAAATATATGTGTTTATTCTTCTGTACCTCACACAGGGGCACTCTGGAGGAAGTATGATTAACAATGATGGCCTCCTGTATGGTGTGACCGTCTGGGGTAGTAAAAAGAGTGTAAAGTTACAATCACCTTCATGGATGTTTGCTAGTACCAAGAATGGATAATAGGAGAAATCAATAAAGATAATCAACTGGATAGTGAGTAAATGAATGATGTACTCCAATTAAAATGAGATCTCAGATCTCCTTAAGGATATGAGTGAGTCCTGGAATATTATTTTCCTCTTTATGTATGTAGGCCTATGTATAATTCCATTTTTTTAGATTTTTTTTTTTTTTATCTTGCAGGATTGTAGTGCTTTGGCAGAAAGCCAATAGCGGTGCGTGGGTAAAATCACTGGGGAAGCCAAGCCAGAAAAAAACGAATATTACAACCTACAGTACTAGTCAAAAGTTTGGACACACCTACTCATTCAAGGGTTTTTCTTTATTTTCACTATTTTTTACATTGTACAATAATAGTTAAGACATCAAGACTATGAAATAACACATATGGAATCATGTAGTAACCAAAAAAGTGTTAAACAAATCAAAATATATTTTAGATTTTTCAAATAGCCACCCTTTGCCTTGATGACAGCTTTGCACACTCTTGGCATTCTCTCAACCAGCTTCACCTGGAATGCTTTTCCAACAGTCTTGAAGGTGTTCCCACATATGCTGAGCGCTTGTTGGCTGCTTTTCCTTCACTCTGCCATCCGACTCATCCCAAACCATCTCAATTGGGTTGAGGTCGGGGGATTGTGGAGGCCAGGTCATCTGATGCAGCACTCCATCACTCTCCTTCTTGGTAAAATAGCCCTTACACAGCCTGGAGGTGTGTTGAGTCATTGTCCTGTTGAAAAACAAATGATAGTCACATTAAGCGCAAACCAGATGGGATGGCGTATCGCTGCAGAATGCTGTGGTAGCCATGCTGGTTAAGTGTGCCTTGAATTCTAAATAAATCACAGACAGTGTCACCAGCAAAGCACCCCCACACCATAACACCTCCTCCTCCTCCATGCTTTATGGTGGGAACTACACATGCGGAGATAATCCGTTCACCCACACCGTGTCTCACAAAGACGTGGCGGTGTGAACCAAAAATCTCAAATTTGGATTCCAGACCAAAGGACAAATTTCCACCTGTCTAATGCTCGTGTTTCTTGGCCCAAGCAGGTCTCTTCTTCTTATTGGTGTCCTTTAGTAGTGGTTTCTTTGCAGCAATTCGACCATGAAGGCCTGATTCACACAGTCCCCTCTGAACAGTTGATGTTGAGATGTGTCTGTTACTTGAACTCTGTGAAGCATTTATTTGGCTGCAATTTCTGAGGCTGGTAATTCTAATGAACTTATCCTCTGCAGCAGAGGTAACTCTGGGTCTTCCATTCCTGTGGCGGTCCTCATGAGAGCCAGTTTCATTATAGCGCTTGATGGTTTTTGCGACTGCACTTGAAGAAACTTTCAAAGTTCTTGAAATTGTCTGTATTGATTGACCTTCATGTCTTAAAGTAATGATGGACTTATTTGAGCTGTTCTTGCCATAATATGGACTTGGTCTTTTACAAAATAGGGCTATCTTCTGTATAACCCCCCCCACCTTGTCACAACACAACTGATTGGCCCAAACGCATTAAGAAGGAAATAAATTCCACAGATTAACATTTAAGAAGGCACACCTGTTAATTGAAATGCATTCCAGGTGACTACCTCATGAAGCTGGTTGAGAGAATGCCAAGAGTGCGCAAAGCTGTCATCAAGGCAATGGATGGCTATTTGAAGAATCTCAAATATTAAAATATATTTTGATTTGTTTAACACTTTTTTGGTTACTACGTGATTCCGTATGTGTTATTTAATAGTTTTGATGTCTTCACTATTATTCTACAAGCAAAACCCTTGAATGAGTAGGTGTGTCCAAGCTTTAGACTGGTAGTGTATGTGTTGTGATAATTTTGCTCTATAATCTGTTAGTTCATATGCCTTCCGACCGTCATATGTAGGCCTCAGGCCAAGACAATAAGAAGACACAGTGGCAGAATAAATTCAACAAAACCTTTGTTTCATCACAAAACCGGAGAGCAAACTCTGTCTGCTGAAGTCCACAAAGCATATTGCATGTAACAAACAGTTACATGACCTACAGCATGGTCAAGCAAGTTCATTTTCCCAACATTTTCACTAAACAACTATTGATTTAGAACCACGGAGAGTTACTGCAAGTCGCAAAGAAAACAGGAACTGCCTCCACTATTCCAGGACCATTTCAACTTCAACATTTCAACATCATCAAATCATCTATGCTTAGTCTAATACAGTGACAACTAAAAGATACCAAAAACAATTTATTCCAATCAACGTAAGCTAAATATGATGTGGCTGTCCATGCATGGTTCTGATTTCTGTGTGTGTGTGCGCGTTCGTGCAAGTAGTAAAAACATGTTGACTCATACTACTTGTAGAGAAATGCCAATGCCATCCTCCTCTCTTTCATGTTGAAGAAATGGTCTATCACTCTGTCATACAGTACATGCTTTCATTTTTTGTTGTCCTAGGCTACCTGGCTAAAAAGCTTGCTCGCTAGCCTAACTTCCTTTCATGGGTAACGTTAGCTAGTTAACATTAGCCTTCGACATCTAGCTACATATTGAACTTCCATCCTCTCAGGCGAGGGGCACAATGTATGAATTTATGGTTGGATTAGAATAGCCGTTATAATCATTGGCTAGTACGGAGAATTAAGTAAAACCCCAAGTCCACATCCATGGCTAATTTAGGAAAGGTTTAATTTTAGCTAGCTAGCTAGCCACCGGAGGACAACAACACAATGAGTTTATGTCAGTGACATTTGGCTCTCGGTGCGATGTGATTGGAGTGATGCCAAATCCAAAATGACTTCCCTTTACACTTGTTTTTGGTGCCTCAGGACCATTCACAGTTGTGCTCACTTAGTTTAGCCTATTATTTTTTCTTTATTTTTATCAAGGGAGGCTAAATGCTCGCTGGCTTCCTTTGCATTCAATGCTACGGGCGGCAACAATGTCATACTCTTTTGGACCAGGAAGCATCAGATACAGTGGGGGAAAAAAGGATTTAGTCAGCCACCAATTGTGCAAGTTCTCCCACTTAAAAAGATGAGAGAGGCCTGTAATTTTCATCATAGGTACACGTCAACTATGACAGACAAATTGAGAATTTTTTTTCCAGAAAATCACATTGTAGGATTTTTAATGAATTTATTTGCAAATTATGGTGGACAATAAGTATTTGGTCACCTACAAACAAGCAAGATTTCTGGCTCTCACAGACCTGTAACTTCTTCTTTAACAGGCTCCTCTGTCCTCCACTCGTTACCTGTATTAATGGCACCTGTTTGAACTTGTTATCAGTATAAAAGACACCTGTCCACAACCTCAAACAGTCACACTCCAAACTCCACTATGGCCAAGACCAAAGAGCTGTCAAAGGACACCAGAAACAAAATTGTAGACCTGCACCAGGCTGGGAAGACTGAATCTGCAATAGGTAAGCAGCTTGGTTTGAAGAAATTAACTGTGGGAGCAATTATTAGGAAATGGAAGACATACAAGACCACTGATAATCTCCCTCGATCTGGGGCTCCACGCAAGATCTCACCCTGTGGGGTCAAAATGATCACAAGAACGGTGAGCAAAAATCCCAGAACCACACGGGGGGACCTAGTGAATGACCTGCAGAGAGCTGGGACCAAAGTAACAAAGCCTACCATCAGTAACACACTACGCCGCCAGGGACTCAAATCCTGCAGTGCCAGACGTGTCCCCCTGCTTAAGCCAGTACATGTCCAGGCCCATCTGAAGTTTGCTAGAGTGCATTTGGATGATCCAGAAGAGGATTGGGAGAATGTCATATGGTCAGATGAAACCAAAATATAACTTTTTGGTAAAAACTCAACTCGTCGTGTTTGGAGGACAAAGAATGCTGACTTGCATCCAAAGAACACCATACCTACTGTGAAGCATGGGGGTGGAAACATCATGCTTTGGGGCTGTTTTTCTGCAAAGGGACCAGGACGACTGATCCGTGTAAAGGAAAGAATGAATGGGGTATTGTATCGTGAGATTTTGAATGAAAACCTCCTTCCATCAGCAAGGGCATTGAAGATGAAACGTGGCTGGGTCTTTCAGCATGACAATGATCCCAAACACACCGCCCGGGCAACGAAGGAGTGGCTTTGTAAGAAGCATTTCAAGGTCCTGGAGTGGCCTAGCCAGTCTCCAGATCTCAACCCCATAGAAAATCTTTGGAGGGAGTTGAAAGTCTGTGTTGCCCAGTGACAGCCCCAAAAGATCAATGCTCTAGAGGAGATCTGCATGGAGGAATGGGCCAAAACACCAGCAACAGTGTGTGAAAACCTTGTGAAGACTTACAGAAAACTTTTGACCTGTGTCATTGCCAACAAAGGGTATATAACAAAGTATTGAGAAACTTTTGTTATTGACCAAATACTTATTTTCCACTATCATTTGCTAATAAATTTATTAAAAATCCCACAATGTGATTTTCTGGAATTGTTTTCTCATTTTGTCTGTCATAGTTGACGTGTACCTATGATGAAAATTACAGGCCTCTCTGATCTTTTTAAGTGGGAGAACTTGCACAATTGGTGGCTGACTAAATACTTTTTTTCCCCACTGTAGATGGCCTACACACACAAAGACCATACAGAGACAGAGGGGTGCTGTTTTGCTCGCTTGGATGCCTTCTCTGGTGAGATACATTCAGCCTCTTGCGAATTGAAGGAAAATTATGAAACAGAGATGAAATATAAATAATTGTATGTATTTTAATAATTTTTTTGTCCATTTTTTGGGGAAGCCTGGCTTCCATTGGCATCCATGAATACACATCACTGCAGAAAGCAAAAGCTTTAAAAAATAAATTCCACATTTTTGAAGGTATCTAAACCCTACAACCTTCATATTGATCGGTAGTAATTTTTTTAGGTTTAAGGGATTTCCAGAATCGTAACAGGATGACACACAATGACAGACTGAACAGAGATGGATTAATTTGATTTAATTCATTTTATATTTAAAAAATATATACATATACAGCCAAGAACAGTCAATGCATTAAAGAAA